TCTATAATAACTCTTTTGAGAATTTGTTGTTGTTGGTATAAATATTTTCTGTTGATCTTTTGATATATTTTCCATTACTCTGACATCCTATGCTTTTGCATTGTAGATTTGGATTAGGTTAATTTTGTTTGGATTCTATAATAACTCTTCTGAGAATTACATTTGTTGTTGTTGGTATAAATATTTTCTGTTGATCTTTTGATATATTTTCCATTACTTTGACATCCTATGCTTTTGCATTGTGGATTTGGATTAGGTTAATTTTGTTTGGATTCTATAATAACTCTTCTGAGAATTACATTTGTTGTTGTTGGTATAAATATTTGCTGTTGATCTTTTGATATATTTTCTATTACTCTGGCATCCTATGCTTTTGCTGTTTATATTGCAACTTATTGTGAACTGAAAAACACAAAGAAGTCATATTGTATCAACTAATCTAAAAATTGGAAATCCCTCTCCCCCCCCTCCCCTCCCCTCCCCTTCCCTTCCCAAGAAAAAGGGTCATTTTTTGGGAGTTTTGTTAACGTGTTCCCTTGGGACATATGTTAAGATGCTTTGTCTGTTTGTATATTATGCATGAAAGTGAGTATAATAAAGAATGTACAATACTTTTGAGCTTCCTTATCATGTGCCCTTAGGGCACATGTTATTTTTGTTATTTTTGAATTTTTTTCTCAAAATTTAATTATTTTTAAAACTTTTCCTGTACATCTAGTTGAGTGGAACTCAAATGTTTTTTGAATTTAAACCAAAAAAAAAAAATTCACAAAAGGTGAAAAAAGTCACCAAAAAAATAAACCCTAAACACTTATCAAATTTTGTCTAATAGTCTGACACATACTCCCATAATAGCTAAAATAAACTGCACCAAACTATTCAATTAAATTGTGCAATTTGAATTTTGTTATGATGATAGTTTTATTAGATTATATTTTTTAAGCATGTTAATTTTATGCAATTAAATGAACTGTTTTTCAAAATGTCTACACTATCATCCATGATATGTATATTTGTAATTATAATGCACACTTTGTTTTCCTTTCTACTTCTTATATATATATATATATATATTTGCTATTAGTGATAATCTAGTTTGAATTCTGCTGTTGTAGGTTACCTACATATGCTTTATATATTAAAATCATTTGAGTAAATATTTACAAAACTTAGCAAGAGAAGTGCCTCATATCTGAGGTCGCGTTGGTTTCTAGTCACTTGAGGTTTATTGCATTCAACTACACTAATTATTGTCTTGTCTATAATCTTTCACTTCACCAGAAAAAAGAAGTTTTTGTTGGGTAATTTTTGCTAAAGCTATAAAGAGTTTCTAATATCTTTTTAGCCAGTAAAACTTGTGCTTGTTGCACCATTTTGTGCATTTCTAGAACTGAATAACAAATGGGTGAGATGTAACTTTGAACAGAAATAACTATTCAAATTTGGCTATTGGAGTCGTTTCTTGATTGTAATCGCTGCTTGTACTAAAAGTGAAGGATTAAAACAAGCAAACCAATCATATAACGACCACAAACAAAAACAGATTGCAAATCTAAGGTTATTGCAATTTTATGCTCAAATGAATGTTGGATGTTGAATTCTTTAGTACTTAACCATATCTATGAAATGGGACCAAGAAAATCCTAGTTTTACAAGTACAATAGGATATTTCAACTACATATGAAATGGGACTTAATTATATGATAGAGTTGGTATTAAAATGAACAAAAATTTCAATCTATTTGTGGTTGAGGCAGGGGGCATGTGAGTCTATCATTTCTCGTGAAGGATTGTAGAAATTATATTGAAGAAGTCAACATTTATTACTTGCCGAAGGCGATGCGACTGTAATGTACAATTACATTTTGAAAATACAAGTTGATAATTATGTCTTTTTTTACTACATAGATTTAATGAAGAAGGGCCAATTATGCAATGTATTTTGGGTTGATGCAATGTGGTATTTAGGGAGTTTGGTGATGTGGTTGTATTTGATGCTACATATTTGGTGAATAATTATGACTTGTCGTGTGTTCCTTTTGTATCATGAACAATCTAAGTAGACTCATTTCATATGAAAGCAGACATTTACATAGCTATGCAAGTGTTGGCTTTATGAATATGTTTGGTAAATCACCAAACTATAAGTAACTTTTCAATAGCCACCACCATAGTGTCAGTACCTTTTCTCCTTTTTTTTATTTGGGTCCATCAACACTTGGATTCATGAACCAGTAAGTAAATGTTGTTTTGATTTTATGGGCTATAGTGTTTGCACATCCATTGTTGTTTTCTTAAATTTATATGCATGTTGAACATTAGGCAATGAGGATATGAATAGATGCCATCATAGAGTTCATTTTTTTTCTCAAAATTGTTAATGGTAGTAGTTAAATCCCAAGATAATTCATATTGGTGATACTTTACTAAAGGGCCTGATAGAGCAGCTCAATTCTCATATTGAAATCACATCTCTCTCTCTCTCTCTCTCACACACACACACACATACACACACACATATCTTATTTTAGAGTGCAATTGTTTCTTTTTAATATAAATTGCTTCATCTTTTAGTTTATACTAGCTGAAGGGCTTTTTCTTAGTTTATTTTCTATATTTTTTTAGGATAAATTACAAATTCAACTTTTAAGGTTTGCTTAAAATACGAATTTTTCCCTTTGGCCTAGAAAATTACAAATACCCCCTTATCAGAATTTATTATTTAACATAATTAACTAAAAAAAGAAAAAGAAAATTCCTAACAATTCTCATATACAATGATAAAATTACTTGAATTATTAATTTAAATAAATTTTTAATATCATTAAAAATTATTACTTGACTTGATGGTTTATTAATAAAAAAAGGGCCATTTGTTATGAAATCATAAACTTCAAGGGGCAGGATATAATTTTCAGAACTATAGAGGGTAAATCAAATTTTAAGCAAACCTCAGGAGGCTATTTGTAATTTACCCAATTTTTAAATTTCAATTTTTCTTTTTGTTTTCTAGTTTATCTTTTTCTTTTTTCTTTTTTTGCATTCACTATCAGAGTTTCACAATGTTGAGGTGTCTTGTGAGGTTTAAACCAGTCATATTACAAAATAAGAGTTTTAGAATTCCCTTCTGATCCAAAAATGATCAGTTGTTGGAAGCGATATTAAGAATACTCTTGGACATTTATGAACAATACCTTTCAGCACGAGGCTTTTTGTTGGTACTCTTATTTCAGATGATTAAACCACTAGTAATTTGATTTCCATGTTCACTTGTGTTCTGAATCATATAAAGAATGCCAGTTTTTTGCTTAATAAGACAACACCCAAGTGGTATATAATTGTGTGAGTTTTTCGTTCTGTAAAATCCTCTTCATTTTATTGATTCAGTTATTTATTAGTAAGAGAATGAAAATGCTTTTGCCTGTGTAAGTTTTCCTCATTGACTCGTGATGTTGTGGCGTACATGTAAGTTGTGTTTGGATCCGAGATTGTGGGTGAAAAAAAAGGGTAAGAATTTGTGAAAAAAATTAACTTTTATTTCATTCACTTATCTTTTCTCTCCACTAATATCGAAACGTGGCAGTAAGAGTTTGTTCTTTATGGTGTTTACTCTCTTCATACTATTCTGTTGTGCAGATTTAAGTTATGTTGTTACTTTTTAGAATCTATTTGCTATCTAGTGCAGGTTTTAATTGTTGATCTTTTCTGTGTGGTTAATGAATGGTGGTTGCTAAAAGCAATGAAAATTGAGTACATTTTAGGTTTGTAGCAACCTATTTTATTGCCTTAAGGAAGGTGCTTGGATTTCGTTTCTATTTTTCCTCCCTCAAAATCTTTTTTGTTTTGTTTTTGTTGTTGTTGTTGTTTGTTTGTTTGTTTTTTTTTGTTTTTTTTTTTTTAAAGGAACCCTGGAAAGTCATTTAAGCACTCTACAATGTTAATTCTCTTCCCTCCTTTAGGTACACCATAGTGTACAAGTTGACAAATCTTGTACATTGCTTTAATTCTTCATTCATCTTGTACATTGCTTCAATTCTTCATTCAATTTTGGAAAAATATGTTATCACACAAATAACTTCTTTTTTTATCTGCAACAAATATTTTTTATTCTAAAATAGTTCAAATTTATATCTTTCAATTTCATGCTTCATATTTCAAGTGTGCTTAGTGAGGAGACAACATCAAAGGAAGAAAATTCTCGCCAATAAGGAAGCATGTCGACCCTAAAAGGTTTGTGAAAGGGAAAAAGGAAAAGCGGGTTTTATATCAATAGTTCTTAGAAGAGAGGGAAAGGCCAGCAGTGGTTTGCTCAATCCGCATGCATCATTTGGTGAAAGCACTCCAGCCCAAACGCCTCCTTGAAATAGTTTTTCAACCACAAATTTCCCTCCTTCAAAACAATGCTCCTCACCAAATACTCTTCCTTGGGTTGGGGCAACGAAACAATGAGTAGTTGCTTTAAGGACGCCAACCCATCGAGAGTATGATGCTGGCCAAGATGGAGCTGGGAACCAGTCTATACTTTCTGGGGCTTGCCTTGCTTCATCATCTATAAACTGGGCTAGCGTCAAAAAAAGGAACCAACCCAACTTCTCTAGCTTTCTAAATAAGCACAATATAGTATGATGGTCATTTGTTGCTCCATAGGATCACATGACAACACTGTTGTAATCTAATTATTTTTTTCATTTTTATTGATTTATTCTCATTAAATTTTTTAATAAGAATAGAAGTGGTGGTAATGTTAAAGCAATTATTGAAGCAAAGTTTTATTGATGCTTCTCTTTCAAAAATCTATATATGTTAAGATTGTTGATATGGTTGAGCCAACAAAATTATTGCACATTTGGCAATTGAAAGTTGTTGGATTTCCAAAAGTATATTAATTCAAAATTAGTGACCATGGGGTGGAAATAAAGTCTCAAAGAGACAACATATTTAAATACATTTACTATATTTAACTACATTTTTTTTCTTTAGTTCTTCAAGCTAACTACTTATGCATACTGTAACCATATATATAGGTTTCCAAAAAAAAAAAATACAAAGCATACAAAATAAGTAATTCAAGTACTACGTAATCACTACTAGCTACAGATGCATCTGGCTAACTTTTTTGAATGTTGCCATTAGCTAGATACTGAAGTTCCAACTTTTCATCTTTTAACCCCTTCCACAATTTGCTAGATACCAAAGTTTAACTTTTTTGAGTGTTGCAAGAACATCTTTCATGTTAATCCTCTCCTCGGGTGACTCTGCAGTGCAACTCAAAGCCAATTCCATGATGGATGATACACACTGCAATACAATTGTAGTGAGGTGTTCTTCCTCTAGCTTAAACAAGTTAGCATCTATAACATCAGAGATTGCATTTGGTAGTGACTCCCTTATCCAACGTTTCATTGTCATGTCTTCAAAAAACATTTCATCAGTGGGCTTCACTCTTGTGAATGTTTCCATAAGCAAGATTCCATAACTATAAACATCACAGCTTATGGATACTAATCCTTCCAATCCAAACTCTACATACAATTAAAAGAAATGTCATGTTGTCAAGAAAATTACAGAATTTTGGTTGTAGCAAGTGGCATGTGTCAGTGGTTGGATTCGTGGCATACTAAAGGATGGCAGTGTTGGAGGGGTATGTAATGGTCGTAAATGTTGGATGGGTGAGTTGTTTTGGGAAAGAAAGGTATGTAGTGGTGGTCATGTGGAAAAAAAGAGTAATTTTGTTATTTATTATTATTGTTAAATTTGACAAATAAAAAATATAATGTGTAAAGGCAAAAAAATAATTTACTTATTAAAGTTAACATTGTTAATTTTTCTATTATTGAAAGGGTGGTCAATATAATTATGTTAAAATTGCAAAATTTATTGTATTTTTATCATTATTCCATGGAGGTTGGTGTAATTTACTATTTAAAGACTTAGCCCATTGTCAACAAAATCATAAAAATTTCAATGAAAATTATATTTAAAATTTTGTGCTATAATATGAAAAGTGCATGTCTATATAAATTGGAAGCATATATAGAAAACACAAAAATGTGAATATATAAATTAAAATTTAGAAGTCACCTGGTGCAATATACCCAAATGTTGCTATGGTCTTTGTATGTGTGACGCTCTCCCCCAAATCTAATAACTTTGCAATACCAAAATCACTCACATGTGCAACCATATCATCATCTAGTAGGATGTTGTTGGGCTTCAAATCACAGTGAACCAAAGGCATTGAATAATCATGGTGAAGATACTCCAAAGCACATGCAATATCTATCATTATGTCTAATCTCTGCAACATATCTAAGAAATAGTTATAAGAATACAACCACTTTTCAAGACTCCCATTAGGCATATACTCAAGTACTAGAGCTTTGAAATCAAGATTCGAGCAACTACTAATGACCTTAGTAAGATTGCGATGACGAATGTGTCGCATTATCTCGCATTCTACATCAAAACTCTTGAATGCACCTTCTACTTGCAAGTTGAATACCTTTATAGCCAAAATTGTGGTATCTTCAAGGATAGCTTTGTAGACAGAACCAAAACTCCCCATACCAAGCAAGTTGCTCTCATTAAACCCATTAGTTGCTTGGAAAAGCTGTTGGTATGTGATTCTTGGAGGTGTTATTGTTGGTAAGAGATCAACATTGGATGGAGTTTTATTTCTTCTTCGACATTTTATGAACAAGAACACAAAGGTCATAGCAAGTAGTATGGATGCAATAGGTAACAAAATATATAAAGCTAGAGCCACTCTTTTTTTCCTCAGATGATGAAAGGAACTAGTATGGCATGGCGGGACTTGAAACTTTGGTGCACCGCATAATGCTTCATTCGACATGAAAGATTGAACAGTGAAGTTTGCAAAAGGTCCCCCATTTGGAATTTGTCCTCTTAACTTATTGAAAGAAACGTTGAGATATGAAAGATGAGACAATGTCTCTAAGGACTTGGGGATTACATTGGAGAGATCATTACAGGATAGATCTAAGAATTCCAAGCTCACCATGCTATCAAATGAGTCAGGTATAGATCCTTGTAACTTGTTGTGCGCCAATGAAAGAGTAACCAAGTTTTGCAAACCTATAATTGTACTTGGGATATTGCCTGTGAATTGGTTCATTGAAAAATCTATTAGTATTGCAACTTTGAAACTCCCAAGTTGTGGTGGTAGATTGCCATTTAAAGAATTCGAGGACAAGTTAATTTCCAAGATATCTTTAAGATTGCCCAACTTTGTAGGTATGACGAAAGTTAGTTTGTTGGAATTGAGGTAGAGATACCTTAGGGATGTAATATTCCCTAAGCATTCAGGAATCAATCCAAAAAGTTCATTTTGGTTCAATCGTAGATCACCCATGTTCTTAAGTTGGCATATATCATCTGGAATGGCCCCTTGTAGTTTGTTGTTGGAAAGATGCAATATTTGAAGCTTTCCTAACGCTTTGATTGTGGAGGGAATGAATCCGGTTAAACCATTTTGTTGCAGAGACAAGAATGCCAAATTGCTTACATTACCAATTTCACTAGGAATGTTGCCTCTGATTCCACAATAATCTGCCTGAATGTTCTCAAGGGAAGCAGAGAAATTTCCAATGGTTGTTGGAAGAACGCCATCTAAAGGATTTTGATTTATGAACAAATATTTTAAATGTTTGCAATTTGCCAAGGAAGTGAGGAAGCTCATTTCTGGAGAGGAAGCAGATGATCCACTTGTCAAATTGTTGTTTACGAAGTTGAGAATTTTGAGTAGTTGTAAATTGCCAAGCATTTTTGGAATTGAACCTGTAAATGCATTGCTATTGAGGTCTAAAAGAGTAAGTTTAGAAGCATTTGAGATTGACTCGGGAATAATTCCAGTGAGTTTATTTACTGCAAGTGAGAGGCCACGAAGATTGGGTAGCCAAAGCCCTATATTTGATGGAAGATTGCTTGAGAAGTTATTTCCCAAAAGCGACAATGTCACAAGTGATGAGATATTAAAAATTGATGTTGGAATGGCACCCATTAAGTTGGTAGCATCAAGTACTAGCTCTCTCAAATTTGGAAGCTCACCAATCTCCTCTGGTATCAGACCTGCCAAAATGTAAAAACAAAGAAACTTGAAGGGGGGAAAAAATCAATGGAAACCACTTTTTTAACCACACCCCCCCCCCTCCCCCCAAAAAAAAATCTTCAATAAGAAAAATTATTAATTAAGGCATTCACCTTGGTAACTAGCATCAAGACAAAATATTCAAACTCGTACAATTGACATCTTTTTTTTTTTTCTTTCTGTTGGTGAAGTTATAATGGTTGCTTCATATAACTCGTCATTTACCACATAACTCGTCATTTACCTTGTAGGAGTAACTATTAGTATTTTCCATGTACTATATGGCAAATTTAGAAGACCATATGTAGATGAGAAATTTAACCTTTTGATTCCTAATTGACAATTCAAGATGCCTAAATATTATGGGAGGAACATGTAATTCAATGTTCAATTTTGTAACATATAAGTATGACAAGAAATTATAAAGGGTGAAAGATGAAAATAAGGATAAACTACACCAATATTTCCTTATGTTTAAAGAAAATATAGCAAATTCATTGTTTTAGTATAATTATACCGAATTCTTTTTTAATAAAGTTAAAGAGGTCAAAACTAATGCAGATTGTGTGAAAATACAAGAATAATCAAGGTAAAATATATATTTATGTGTAAAAGAGATGACAACATCATTTTTCATTTATATGTCTAAATAATTACTAATGAAAAAGGGGTCAAGTGTTATATAATCCTACAGGGACCAGTTAATTATATCAAACTTATGGGGGTTTATTTTATTATTTTTTTCAAATCTTAGATGATGTTAGTGAAATTTATCCCAAAAAAATTACACATGTCCCAAAAAAAAGAAAGAAAAGAAAAAGAACAGTAAAAAAAAAAGAAGGAAAGCTCTACTCAAAATATACCCCATTTGGTTTAAATTTTACGGTTCATTTTTTTTTCTCGAAACAATAGGAATTAGTTTGACAAAAATAAACTGTAAAAAATATATTTTGAATATCTAAAAATTATTTTTTCCTTAAAAAAATGTAAACAATATGAACTGATGAGTGTTTTGTATTTATTATGATTTTTTCACTAAATTAGTTTTAGGCTTTTTGGAAAAAATTTAGAAAATCAAACCAAATAGAGTTGAATCTTCAATTCAATTGGAACAAGTGTAATACCTATGTTATGCGTGAAAATAAATAAATAATCAAAAAAATAGTTTTAAAAATTAAATAATAACATAAAATTTGTTTAAAACATATAGAAAAAATAATTTAAAATTAAATAAATTTTAACTATTTTCATTCGAGTTACACCTAAGAGTAGTTAAAAAAAAATTAAGAAATTTATATTAATGTATTAAAGCCCATAGAGTCTTTCAAAAAAAAGTGACTTTTACTAATAAATAAAATAGATTAGGGGAATTAGGATTTAGTCAGCCGTAGAATGAAAAAAGAGTCGATCACCATGATTATAATGCTATATATTTGTATGTTTAAAGAAAAATGATACATAAGTTTAGTTTTTAAACTTACTTTCATGGGATGATGGAATTACATTAATTTATTATTTTCTTTCCTCTATCATATTTTGGATTATATTTTGCTCTATTATGTTGGTTTGGAGATGGTATGAAAAATGAGACTTGTACTATGAATGGTTGACTTATGCTATGGATGGATGAGAAATACTATCTTACACATAGGTAAGTGTGGGGATATATTTTCTGAGTACCAACACGTGGCAAGGTGACACCGACGTGTCAGCCGAGGTGCCACGTGTCCTGGTCGTGACGCCGAGGTGATCTCGGCAAGGCCGAGGTTATCTCCGAAGATATCGGAATCCGAGATAAGTGGATAAGGGACAAGAGTCCTAGAATGAAAAGGGAACTCAACCTGGATGAGGGACAAGAGTCCTAGAATGAGAGAAGACTTCAGTTTGTATTAAGATAAGACTCTTAGAGAGTTTATCCTAATCTTACTGGGAGTCCAAGATTAGCAGTAATCCTGAGTCCATGGAAGTTAGGCTTCTATTGGGACTAGGTTTATGTTGGCTATAAAAGAGAGGCACCCCCATGGGTCTAAGGGATGCTTTTAGGCTCAAGCTTGTGAGTTGAATAATTGATTATCTTTAAGAGATATACTGACTTGATCGTCGGAGTGCCCCCGGGTGGACGAACCACTGCGAGATTCTTATATTTCTGTTGCAGGTCAGTCAGGTGCCATATATTCTGCCAGTGCTCTCAAGCTGAATTACTGAGTTGGCAGTGTGGTCAGAAAATTTCCCACACAATTTGGCGCCGTCTGTGGGAAAGAAAGAAGAATAGATGGCCAATGACGGATAGAAGGATCAGACTGGAGACAATGCTCCTGCTGGGAATGGGAGATCTATCAACCTCGACGTTGAAGGGGACAATAGCAACACAGAAACCCGTGACCAGAGTCACGGAGTGAAAGACGCCAGCCAGGAAGGTGACGCACCAAAGACAACAGATCGAAGCGGATACTACAACGAAGATGACCTCCAGGTATGGAAGGATAGATACCTGCGGAGGAACGAAGACCCTTCCAGAAGGGATGCAAAGACAGGGGGCATGAGCGCTCCCGAGATAACATTCAAGTATAGAAGAACTCATCCTGAGTGAGCAGATCTCGGATTCCAGATCCTGGATCTCGGATCCGAGACGACATGATCTCAGCCTAGACAAGTAGGCCCGAGAAGACGAGAGCTCAACCTAAGTGAGCAGATCCCGGATTCCAGATCCCGAATCCTAGAAGACATGATCTCGGCCTAGATAAGTAGGTCCGAGGAGAGAAGAGCTCAACCTGAGTGAGCAGATCCAAAATCCTAGCGGACAAGATCTCGGCACTTAAGTCCGAAAAGAGAAGAGCTCAGTAAGCAAATCTCAGATCCCAGAAGATAAAAAAGAAAACACACAAGGTTGGACTGCAGTTAGCCAAGTTGAAGACCTTTTATAAGGTTTGCAAAGGAGTATGCGGAAGCCATGTAGGGGGCAGAGAGAAGAAGAATATGTTTACCACTTGTTGAAATTTGTAGCAATTTACAAGTTGGTTAAACCGATATGATGTTTATCACTTGTTGAAATTTGTAGCAATTTACAAGTTGGTTAAACCGATATGATGTTTACCACTTGTTGAAATTTGTAGCAATTTACAGGTTGGTTAAACCGACATAATGTTTACCACTTGTTGAAATTTGTAGCAATTTACAAGTTGGTTAAACCGATATGATGTTTACCACTTCTTGAAATTTCTAACAATTTAAAAGTTAGTTAAATCGAGATGATATTTAACACTTGTTGAAATTCTATGTGAATTTACAATTTGAAGTTAAACCGATGTAAAATTTAACACTTGTTGAAATTCTGTGTGAATTTACAAGTTGAAGTTAAACCGATGTGATATTTAACACTTGTTGAAATTCTGTTGTGAATTTACAAGTTGAAGTTAAACCGATGTGATATTTAACACTTGTTGAAATTCTGTGTGAATTTACAAGTTGAAGTTAAACCGAGAGGCATTTCAGTCGAGATCTCCAGGGAGGCACAGAGCGGTACTAAGAGCGACACCGACATTAGCGTCATCGGCACTATCACCAGCTCTGACTGGCCTATCCTCTAGTGTAATTTTGGGGGCCTAGGGGGAGTCAGACTTCATGGAGCCTGAAGCTGTTGTAAAGGATGACCTCGGCCTCTTTGATCTGGTAGACTCAGATGGTTGGGCCTCGGCAGGCCTCTTCTCGGCAGTAGAATGGGACTTATCACTCTCAGCCAATTTTGAAATTGGCAAGGTGTCCTCAGTATCAATCTGAGTCACCGTTGCCTTTGGTTGAGCCTTTTTTATCCTTTTTGTTTTGGCTTTAGGGGCTGAATTGGTGCTAGTTGAGCGTCTATGGTGGATGGGATGTTAGCCAGGAGATCTTTAGCAACTGCTTTCTGGCGGCCCATCTCGGCAGCAAAAATAATTCGTCGCCGGCATTTGCGTTGGGATGGGGGGATCAGATATGGAGCCGAGGTTGATGGCTGCTCAGTTGGATCAGAGGTCAATCCCTGATCTGGCCGAGATGTGGAGGCAGCTTGAGGAGTTGTGGCAGAAGGGGGAGATTGACTTTTCTTTCTCTTTGGGACGTCGGGGAGAACTGATTTATAGGTTGGGATGAAATTAAGGACCAAAGGGGCTCTGCGTTTGTGGACTGGCAAATCTAGTAGCTTCTTCAAACCCTTGCTGGGGAAAAAGGACTTGCGGAAGCCTTTTTCTGGTTGGGGAAGAGCTGTAAGAAAAACAGACATTAGAAACAAATGAAGTATTGAAGACTTTGAAAACGAGTAAGTACAAACACTGGGCTCTTACCATTACCCTCTACAAAGACTGTTCGAGGAAGAGGGTAGAGGTGGAGGTCCTCGTCTGGAGCGAACTCCCAGTTCCCCGAGGTAATGAAGTAATCATCCCCAGCTCCCTTGTTGGAGTCTGGGAGGTCGGCAACAATTTTGTATTCTGTGGACCTCGATTTAAGGTAGTAAATATAGCCTGTATCTTTTTTGAGGCCACACATGGTGTAGCAGTACTGGATGTTGGCTAAGGTAACCCTAGCATTTTCCTGTTTGGCTAAAGCTATTATACCATTTATGACTCGGTAGGAGTTGATGGCAAAATGCATTGGGTTCAACTTATAGTAGTGGATTATCTCACGTAATAGGATGTCAAGTGGAAGCCTAAGTCCGCACTCGATAAAAGCTACAACAGGGAAGGGCATAGAATTAGTTGTGGGCATGATAGAGTCATCCTCCCCAGCCAACCTCAGGTGGACGTCGGCAGGGATGGAAAACTCTCGCCTAAAGTATTCTAACTTGGTCGGGGTGTCAACCCTATGCCTCCACATACCCATGACGTCGGCTTAGGGAGACAGTGTACAAATTGGAAATAAAGATTCAGAAGACCTCGGCAAAACCTAAGATTCACGCTGGGGTAAGAA